TATAGCAGGGATTGTGGGGCTGGCGCGGGATCGGGCAGTGTTTCGTTCTGCTGTGCATGGGGTCGCTATGAGTCGGAAACGACTCGATGGCACTTAACAACAACAACAACAATACTACAAATGGGCTGTCCTCCAGCAACCATATCATATATTATACAAGAGATGAATAAGGCTGATATGGTCTGGATGCAATGTCTTCTGCATATATCCAGGCAAGGTTGCAACCCAGTCTACAGCACAATTTATGTAAAACTGGATGTGTAGGTGGCAGATGATCCTTCAGAGGTATGATGAGACCCTCTGACATAACATTGGAAACTGTTATGTCTACTGGTAAGGCTCTTTTTTTGTGGGGGTCCTAGAAGCTTATATTTCCATTTGCAACTGGAAAAAAATGCTGATCTCTTTGCTGTGAAATCCGGTTGCATAGATTTCCTTTTTTTTTTTTTTTTTTAAATTGTGATTTGAGTGAAAGTGAACAGAGCAAATTTTATTTTCCATTGAACAGTTCACACACATTTGTTTCCTGACATTGACTGCAATCCCAACAAAGTGCCATCTCTCTTCCTACTTCCTTCCTGTGGTTACCTTTTCCCTGTGTCCTTCTTTCCTGTGCATTCCCGCTCTCTGAGCTATCTGTCTGCACAAATGCTGCCCTTTTGATTTCCCATAATTGATTGTTCTAAGGAGTATATGTATTGTATCTGGTGTTAACTGTTCACCTCACAGGCCTGTCTAATGACTGGCTGCAAGTCAAGCTGTGGGAGTGAGTTCAGATTCAGGCCTGAAGGGTCAGTAAAGGCCATAATCTCAGGGATTTCACCAGTCTCTTATCAGAGCAAAAAGACTAGACTTTTCCATGATTTTGAGTTTTGTTTCACATTTTTCTCCCACTCTATCCACGAGTTCTAATTTTGATCCCTTTCTAAGTGGTCTGCAGTGGTAGCTGGGCACTGACTAGTCCTTCTGGTCTTAAGGTCACATGGGCTGAGATTTCCATGTTCATAGTCCCTTCAACTAACTGTTTCCACACGTCTTTGATTTTCTTTACTCTTCTGTTCTCTGGAGGAGGAAAGACCAACTGTCTTTGTATCTTAGGGGTCCACTTCCAAGTATTTGGATGTATTATGTTGTTGTTGTTGTTACGTGCTGTCGAGTTGCGTCCAACTCATGGTAACCCCATGCACAACAGAATGAAACATTGCTTGGTCCTGTGCTAGCCTCATTATCCTTGCTATACCTGGGCCGATCATTGCAGCCACTGTGTCAATCCATCTCGTTGAGGGCCTTCCCTTTTTTCCTTGACCCTCCACTTTACCAAGAATGATATCCTTCTCCAGGCAATGGTCCCTTCTGACAACATGACCAAAGTAAGTCAGATGAAGTGTGGCCATTCTCACTTCCAAGGAGCATTCCAGCTGCACTTCTTCCAGGACAGAATTTTAGTTAGCAGCCCATGATGCTTCCAGCATTCTTCGCCAACACCAAACTCAAAAGCATCTTTTCTCTGGTCTTCGTTATTCACTGTCCAGCTCTCATATGCATGTGAGACAACTGAAAATACCATGGTGTGGTATAGTAAATTACTTAGTGTGGCTTTTCTACCCATAAGTCTTTGTAAACTCCAAGGTGGGATTTTCTATGAGCAACTGAGGAGCTCCTGATTGCTG